ACTGTATACACAAAAAGGTCCACTGCATCCATGTATACCTCTGTATAAGAAAGCAACATTAATGTTATATTTGTTTCATGCCACCATAATGAAGACAGTGGTGAACACGAAAGCCAAAAGTTACAACTATACACCAACACGTGTAAACATTGATGGTAACTTTATGTCCTCGAGGTTTTTCCGTAACATGCATGCCACGTTTTGATTCATTCAAACAGTGGTCCTGGTAAGGATTTACACATATACTTTACGTTGTACTAAAATTATCTGATGTATGAAAATTGCGATTAAAAAAATATTATGGCGCCACTGCATCTCCTCGTCTAGGTTTTGACTTTTCTTACGGTCTCTTTGGATTTTCCTTAGGTGATTTGAATGGTTTCAAAATTAAGGCCTTAGCATAACTAAAATCTAAAATGTATTAAAAGTTTTGATTTATTCACTTGTGTGTCTTTTATACAAGTCATATTAACAGAACTTTAATTTAGTCTTCAAGTTGACGAAACAAGGGGAAAACATTTAAAAAAGAACGATTTACACAGTGTAATATTATGTTGTTTGTATATATAATTTGTGTTGTATGTATATGTAATTTGTGTTGTATGTATATATAATTTGTGTTGTATGTATATGTAATTTGTGTTGTATGTATATATAATTTGTGTTGTATGTATATGTAATTTGTGTTGTATGTATATGTAATTTGTGTTGTATGAATATATAATTTGTGTTGTATGTATATATAATTTGAGTTGTATGTATATGTAATTTGTGTTGTATGTATATATAATTTGTGTTGTATGTATATGAAATTTGTGTTGTATGTATATATAATTTGTGTTGTATGTATATGTAATTTATGTTGTATGTATATGTAATTTGTGTTGTATGTATATATAATTTGTGTTGTATGTATATGTAATTTGTGTTGTAGGTATATATAATTTGTGTTGTATGTATATATAATTTGTGTTGTATGTATATATAATTTGTGTTGTATGTATATGTAATTTGTGTTGTAAGTATATGTAATTTGTGTTGTATGTATATATAATTTGTGTTGTATGTATATATAATTTATGTTGTATGTATATGTAATTTGTGTGGTATGTATATATAATTTGTGTTGTATGTATATATAATTTGTGTTGTAAGTATATGTAATTTGTGTTGTATGTATATGTAATTTATGTTGTATGTATATGTAATTTGAGTTGTGTATATGTAATTTGTGTTGTATGAATATATAATTTGTGTTGTATGTATATATAATTTGTGTTGTATGTATATATAATTTGTTTTGTATGTATATGTAATTTGTGTTGTTTGTATATATAATTAGTGTTGTATGTATATATAATTTGTGTTGTATGTATATATAATTTGTGTTGTATGTATATGTAATTTGTTTTGTGTGTATATCTAATTTGTGTTGTATGTATATATAAATTGTGTTGTATGTATATGTAATTTGAGTTGTATGTATATGTAATTTGTGTTGTATGAATATATAATTTGTGTTGTATGTATATATAATTTGTGTTGTATGTATATATAATTTGTTTTGTATGTATATGTAATTTGTGTTGTTTGTATTTATAATTTGTGTTGTATGAATATATAATTTGTGTTGTATGTATATATAATTTGTGTTGTAAGTATATATAATTTGTGCTGTATGTATATGTAATTTATGTTGTATGTATATGTAATTTGAGTTGTATGTATATGTAATTTGTGTTGTATGAATATATAATTTGTGTTGTATGTATATATAATTTGTGTTGTATGTATATATAATTTATGTTGTATGTATATATAATTTGTGTTGTATGTATATATAATTTGTGCTGTATGTATATGTAATTTGTGTTGTATGTATATGTAATTTGTGTTGTTTGTATATATAATTTGTGTTGTATGTATATATAATTTGTGTTGTAGGTATATATAATTTATATTGAAAGTATATGTAATATGTGTGTTGTATGTATATATAATTTGTGTTTAAGATTTTTCTGTTTGTTTCCATTATTGTCAAATATTTCATGTCACTATATGTATCCGAAGCAAGGGAGATAAATTATTTTTGGCTATAAACCTATCGTTCATGTGATTTATTCAAATCAATTAAATATATCTAAAATGAAAGTAACACAGAGACAAAGAACAAGGTCAATAGGTCATTATATACCGGAATTTGAGATTGAATTATGATTATGTTGACCCTCAGACATATGCAGGAGCTTACTGTCTAAAGTAATGGGTTAGGAAATGACTTACATATGGTTCGAATTTGTTTTTTCTTGTAATGTAGATGTATATTGTATGCATGTGTAGTAATGAATGAATATTGTTTAAATAAAAGCAATGCTTTTTGTTTTTTTGTTTTGTTAAATTTTCAGATGACCAATGTAAATACATCTAGTTGGTGTAATCTTATAATAAAATATTCCATGCTGAGCTTATCTGTGACTACATAGATCACCAACACAGCCAATAGCATCTCGGTCTTCATGTCTCTTTAGTAGTTTCAATCTAGATCGCCTAGATGCTCACTATGTATTGTGTTTATCTATACAAGGATCAAGAGTGACATTGTTATCTTAATCGAAAACTATTAGCTATTGAGATGACCAATCCTGACTCACATTTAGATTTAAGGAAGTTTAACACTGTGATAATAGATACCGGAAGGTGTCTACATGCTAAGATAGAGCAATTTCCATTCTCATCGATCTTTTGATAAAGTTTGACAATATTTTCTTTTATTTTAAAGATATTCAAAGGTGCGGGTCCTCTGTAATCCTGAATTCGGTATGACATAAACCGCAGTTAATGTGATATGTTCGGTAGGTCATGGTGATTATCTGATAACATGAACGACATTTTAAAACATTCAACGTGATAAAGAGATCGTGATTATTTTCGGATTGATGAAATCTATTCATGTACAAAGATGTAATCTATTATAGTTTCTTTCATATCATACGCCAAAAATTATTCAAAATACACACGAATGAAAAGTATTTTATACACAGGTTTAAAGTAAGACACATGAGTGCAAACAATAAAATAAAACTGCGTCATACAACTGTTTCTGCCTTCTGTGTCCCATCAGTAATGCTAAGGACCTGCATTTTTAAGCCTAATGACAGATTTTGAAGACTAAGACATTTTTTCAGTGCCTGTGTAAACCATATTCTAAAAAGCTGTCGGATGGGATGTAAAATTTTGACATATTATCGCTTCTATTCCTTGATTTAATGTCAAGAATTTTCTTATTTTTAGCAATGAATTGAATTATCAAAACCAGAATATGTACATGGATGTTTATTTTATAACATACTGGTAACATGTGTAATATACTCAAGCTGAAAAAATGGTTAACGCCCCTGAGTAAAGAAAGCCTTGGATTCAAATTGACGATGAAGTCTTACTATATCACCACTTCTGACTTCAATGTTCTTACAATGTTTACCATTAGAAGTAAATTGCAGGATTGTTAAGTACAGGTAGGGGAAAAAGTACCGTCTAAATAGTCAATAGATCTTGTTGTTTTAGTAGCATTAAATGTTGCACAAAACACAACAATGTACACCAATACGCATTTTTTTGTTTTGTTTCCTAGCACAATATTCATTTTTCATTTGAGTTTTACTCATTAAGTCCAAGACAGCTGCAACGTGCTGACCACGTGAGGAAAATTTCTTCGTAAGTTACCTAGGGGAGAGATATCAACCAAAACGCTATTCTGACAAACCATGATGTTGTTCTAACGTATGTAGGTCTGAAAAGTGTATCCTCATAATCATTCGATTATATCATTGAAGAGAAATCCTGCAGGGTAAGTATGCAATTTCCTTACATGGAAAATACGTATACACTAGTTATTTCTCGGCCACTACAGTTTCTTTGCCATTGACCATGAAGCACTGACTGGATCGTGGACAAAATGGGTTGAACGACTTTCGCTTTCACTTAGTAAAACAGTACAAACTCACTGTTAATGAGAACAAATGGATGGACTACCTGCTCTTTGCATTGTTGTAGTTATTTTTTCTCTTTTATGCATGATTGAGTTTGGCGTTTATTATGGAATCGTATTGTATTCGGCTACCGTAAATCTATATTATACAGAACGATAACTTATAACACCCGAGAGGTATCGAATGAATAACATTTATTTGGTTAGAGTAGTTCTTATCTTAATCCAATCTGAAACTGAAATACGTAAATACTGGGCATTACCTCAAGATGTCGATCTATTTATCATTTAATATACAACTTCAAATGCTTTGTATTTATCATTCCGAACAATATATTTTCACAAACGCTTTGTAACTATAGGTCTCGTTCATTTAGTACGAGTTGACAAACTTACTGTGATTACAAATATCACATGCAAATAAACGTCACGTGTGTAGAATTACTATGATCAAAACCATATTTATTCTTGTTTATTGGTGTCTTAAAAATTTGATAATTTGATGGTTTTAACACAATGTAGTGACGTCAGTGTTGACACAGAAATCATTGAGTATCCTTTGTCCAGTTGGCGCTGACAGTTTTATTCAATATCGGTCAGGCATGTAGCAATGTAAAGTAGCTATCACGTATACGTATTAACGAGTATCATGTGCTGATCCAATAGACATTTTATTTAAATACAGAAATCAATCAATATTGTCAATTACTATAATCACACCTTTACTGTGTTACTGTATCTATGTAATAGTTGTTGCCGATAGTTAGTGTTACTCACTGAATAACCTACCATCATCTGTGGTTGTTGTAGATACTCACCTGTCGTGCAGATGAATACAGGTTCATATTGGAGCTAGAGAAAATACCTCACTGTGTAAAAGGTGTACATACATGTATTTGGAATCACTGTTTTGGAATAACTCTATTGGCTAAGGTATCGATAATCAACAACACGTGACCTGTACTAGCTATGATATTATGTAATCCGTAGATTCGTGGAGTTCTGAAGCAAAATGAACGAAAAGAAATATTTCAAAAAATGGGTACTGATATTGATTTTTATTGTAACAGGAAATACAATTGGTTTGAACAACAATGACAAAAATCACAAGCAATTTATCGACCACTTATTTCAAAACTATTCCTCTTTCATTAAACCAAGGAAGAATCTTTCGGAGCCTGTCGATGTCAATATCACGTTAAGTTTCAACTCCCTGAGAGAAATTGATGAACGGCTACAGACAATGACTTTCATTGCTTGGATGGAACTGACATGGATCGACGAGTTTCTGATATTAGGGGACGGGGTAAAAAGTATACAGATTCCTAAGAGTGATGTATGGTACCCGGATGTAGCTCTGTTTAATTCCATTGATGATCCTCTTCATATCAGTGATGGTCAGTACATTGTACTTCTAGAAGATGGACGCGTCATCTGGTATCCATCTCGACAGTACAGTGTCAGGTGCCCAATTGATATCAGACGTTTTCCTTTTGATGTCCAGAAATGTCAGATTCGGATAGGTGCTTGGCAGTCCCCTGTTTGGACACAGTCAATCATAGACACTGGAAAGAGTCTAAATGAAGATGACTTTGAGGAAAATGGCGAGTGGGAGATTATACAAAGGACCACGCAGCCGAAGATTAATCCCAATTATAGCATTTCTTTCGTTGTGTACGAAATTCATTTTCGTCGTCGTCCTTTGTATCCTGTTGTGAATACATTATTTCCGGTTGTCTTGCTCTCTTTCCTCAACCCTCTAGTGTTCATGCTTCCAGTCGACTCCGGTGAGAAGATGACGTTATGTATATCCGTGCTGTTATCTTTCACAGTGTTTCTGACAGTGTTTAACGATATGATGCCAAAAATGTCAACAAACATTTCATACCTGTCAATTTACCTGTGTATACAACTCGGTATGAGTGGAATAGCTATTGTGGAGTCAGTGTATATTTGGCGCATCAGTAAATTGGAAAATGGAATACCAAGAGATGAAACCACCAACGGGACATTTCCCTCTTGTCCTCGTGCCTCCGTCGAAAATGTTCAATCTTTACCAGCACATGAAGGAATGATGAAAAGTGAACAAGGAATAATAACACGCGAAGAGACCTTCGGAGGACTTCCAAATCATCCCATCGCTGTTAATTGTATAGACACTACCATCACAGACAGTGAAGCCTCTTCAGTTAAATACAAACCGTTCGGAATATCTTTCAGAAAGGCAAATCATTTTAACACTAAAGGTAACAATCGAGGACGTCAGTTAAGTTCGGAACGTTTGGACTTGGTTTTCTTCTGGATACATTTATTTATAACGTCCTTTTGTACAATCAGTCTGTTGATTTTATTAATGGTTTAACTACAATTCTATAACGTCATGTTCAATAAAAAAGTATTTGGATTCAGGCATATTGACCAGCTGCCACCATTCACATTACGATGCACGTTAAGTCGTCATGGATATTGGATTTCCGTACACCCTCTTCAGGTAAACCTGTAAACAATCTCGTGAATATAATCACCATACTTCATATCTTATATTTCCCTTTCTAGATAGCAACGTACATGCTCTCCTTTAATCTATGTTGTTAGCATGTCACATTTTATCCGAAAGTCAATGGTTTACAACAACCGGATCAACCTTCGAAAAGACAAAAGTATGTGTTCACATAAAAGTTGTGCTTCGCAGGCAAAACTAACAGACTGAGCAACAAAATCCTGGTAACAGCGTTCATGTTGTCCAGTCAATGACTTCAGGTCTTAATGTCCCCATTATCTCTCATATATTGATGAACATAGTCAACCTCTTTGTTCTGATTGTGATTTTGATGTCATTGTACCTTTACCTAGAGTTTTCACACAATATCCATCTTAATTTTGTTCTATTCAATCTATTTTTCGACTTTTTCAAAAAAAAAAAAAAAAAAATTTAAAATAAAAAAAATATTTGTGTATACAAGTTATTATTTTGTGAAACATTGTAAATGACATAAAAACTTACTAAGGATACTAAACAACCAATAATTACCTCGATATGGAAAACACGTACAAAACGCACGCGCTGTTGGTAATTATCAATTAAGCATTAAACCGTGCTGTTATGACAGTTATATGAAAATTCTTACATGAAAACGCCATATATCGGGCGTTAGAGGACTATGGTACATTTACAAAACGTATTTGTAATGTCTATAGATAACTAAACAAGGAAAACTTATGCTTATTGATACATTCTCTGCTCAATTATATATTTTGTGTAGATCTCATCACGATTTACACTAAGATAGGTTTTCTATTGCTGACGGCGTGATCCGGCAGGCAGAACAACCATTTTAACACGAAAACGGACTACGTCATTGTTTACGCGTCCACAGAAATGACGTAATAAAAAATATGCGTCGGATTCGATTTACGGTACTTTATAATAATACACTTTCTATGTGAAGTAAATATTGTAGTATGTACAGGTTCTGTCCATGCCTGAGATACACGAATAATAAATGATAGCAATGAAAGTAAATGATATGGCTTTTGAATTGCTAGTACCATCAGAACCCCAATCTCATTGTTTACCAATACTTTGAAGCCTTTAAAATGTCGGACGCTCATTAGCAAATGCAAACATCATTCGACTAGTGTCTTAATCAGCTTCTAGGCTCACTAAAGTGTAATTATTGATGTATTCCAGGCAGATACTCCGCAAGCCCTTAGATATTGGGTAGGTTGTTAAATTACGTCATTGTTGCTTTGGAAACGGCACGAACTCATAAAAGACACACTCGACAGACGATAACATGGCAATGTCAGTAAACCTTTATTCTGATAAATGCATATGCTTTGAAAAGGTTATAATATCGAACAGATGAATGATGGAATATTTTTGGAGATACATACATTGAAATGGTATTATCTTCTGACTTTATATATGTGATTGTCGAAACAGGACGGAAGACAAATATATACGTTTCAGAATGAAAATGGTTAGAAGGTGTTTATGTATCTTGGCATTGATTGAAAACATTATTGTAACTAGAGCTCATATTCGTGTGAAAACACAGAAACAAATCATTGCGGATTTATTTCAAGACTATTCCCCTATCATCAAACCACGGAAGAATCTTTCGGAGACTGTTCATGTCAATTTAACTTTACACTTTACGTCATTAAGAGAAATTGATGAACGACTGCAGACAATGACTTTCGTTGCCTGGATAGAACTGACATTGATCGATGAGTTTCTGATATTAGGGGACGGGGTAAAAAGTGTACAGATTCCTAAGAGTGAGATATGGTACCCGGATGTAGCCCTGTTTAATTCTATAGACGATCCGCTAAACATCAGTGATGGTCAGTATATTATACTTTTAGAAGACGGGCGTGTTGTGTGGTATCCAGGACGACAGTACAGTGTCATTTGTATGATTGATATCAGGCGATTTCCCTTCGATGTACAGATATGTCAAATACGTCTCGGCTCATGGCAGACTCCGGTGTGGGTACAGAGGATAGCCGACACCGGACAAAGTCTGAGTGATGTTGGATATGAGGATAATGGCGAATGGGAAATTATAAATAAAATTACTCGGCCAGAATACAACGAAAACTTCAGAATTTCCTATGTTACGTATGAGATCCATTTCCGGCGTCTGTGCTTGCATCCGGTGATCAACACCCTACTTCCGGTTGTATTGCTGTCGTTTTTGAACACGCTTGTATTCTTACTTCCGGCCAACTCAGGTGAAAAGATGACGTTATGCATATCTGTTCTCTTGTCTTTCACAGTATTTCTGACGGTGTTTAACGACATGATGCCCAAAATATCGACTACCATTTCCTACCTTTCGATATATCTGTGTATACAACTCGGAATGAGTGGACTCGCTGTTGTTGAGTCCATTGGTATTTGGAGGATGAATTACCGTGAAAATAAACGACAAGCAATACAAGAAATACAAGCAGAATCAACTGAAACGTCAACGTCACCATCACATTCAGCCGAAAGTACGATGTGTAACGAGAAGGAGAGTTCCGGCGAGTCGATCGAAAGACATCGGAACGGTACCTCTGTACCTAATGGAAACAATAATAACGGAGGACATATTGAAAAGACTCCTGCTAAAAGGTTCTCAGTGCTGAACTCCATACAAAAATATGATATTCAGAGTGAAGGAGAAGAACACAGCTGCTGGTTTAACTCTGACAGGTTAGATATGATGTGTTTCTGGTTACACTTGTTTATATCAGCCGTGTCTACAGCTGTCCTCCTGGTAATGTTCTGGATTTAACATATAGTAGTTCTATGACTGTACATAGGATTCCTTTGCGAATGTTTTGAAGGGTCAAGATGAAAAACGGTATGAAGCTGCACGTGTTTCATGCTCATTAGTATGCCTGTTGGTTTAGTTGTGGTATACCTTGTTCTTATTTGAGAACGTGACATTACCTGCTTGAATTGACCTAAATTTATACGGCGCGTTACGTCGACGAAGCAGAAACCGCTTACTTTTCCGGAACCCATTGTCTTATTCTCCTTGTTCATTTTCAATTGTTTCCATGTAAAACCTGGTTCATATTTTGCCCTCGTGTGATCGATTTTGAATTCATGCCTTGTTGACATGTTGGCTTTTTGTACTTGCATTGAAAATGGAATTTTATTAACAACTTAACGAAAGGATGTCCTAATTAAATAAAGTGACTTGGATTGATCAGTTGAACAGAGAACGGAATCAATATTGGATTTCAATCCTGACTTGTTTGATTTAGATCACACGCTGAAGCTAAGTTTCATTTCATGTGCACAAGCCTTAAAATTACTCACAATCATTTAGTAAGCAGACTGAAAGGAGATTATCATTTTTAATTATCAGTGAAGTTGTTCGTCAATGTTTGCGTTTTTCTGTACACCTTAGTTTCCTTTTAGTTTTGAAAGTAATCCGATGTGATGCTTTATGAACCATTGGACATCTGAAGAATTTTGTATAAAGGGAAACTGCCGTTCACATTTTATCGACTCTAGGATAAACCATTTGTTTTGTCCATTGGTCACTTCGTCCTAAAATATCTAAAACATATTTCAACTGTTACATTAAATGTTGGCCCGTCTTTTATTTTCCACTCTTGACAAAAAGCAAAATTGGGACAAGTAGACTGACGTCTCGTTACTCTGTATACAGTTTTGTTACGGTGGAATTATCATAAAACTATGTTTTTATGACTTGAAAAGTATCTCGTACTAAGATAAAACTTACATATAATATCATTTGCGTTGAGTATTTATAAATGACATTGCAAGAATCAATGTAGTAAAGTCATTATTTGCAGCAACATTTATCTGTAGTTAGTATTTTGTAACTTTGACACAGTGCAAGATTTAACACGTATATTAGAAATGATATTGTATTGGCGTGAATAAAAATATAGTTCATGACTTCAAATTTGATGTTAACACTTACCATCTGAAATAGTAGGTCTTGCCTTGTCATTGCCATTATACTTGACTGCGTTTCTAGTGAGACAAAACGGTGCTTGACATTATTCATCACAAAGACACGATTTATATATATTGTGTCTATAAACGTCTTTATCACTTTATCGTTTATTGATTAATAAGTTAGATTTATTGTTTGAGAAACCAAACTTGCAATGACATTTTATTTGAGTAAAGATTAAAAACAAATTATGAGAACAGTAAATGTATTGTAATACTATCAGCGTTCTATTTGCAAAGACACAACGAATCAAAACATTCTGTCACTGGGTACGACTTGTTGTAATTGGAAAACAAATGTTTTAAAGTCGTAACATGTTACCACTTTGAGATATGTGTGACGGTTAGCAGTGAGCGGGAAGATTATTTCTTAATTTTTGTGCATGATTTAATTCCAATGAAATTGGTAGTTGTGTACAGATCTGTACCCTAACATTCAATTTGACTGTGATTATTAACTTACGTGCCTAATTGTTACCTCTTCTGAACAGGTCCGCGGTGATTAAATACGTCACTGATTCTCAACCGCCAGCATGTGTTTAGGGTAGGGAAACAGTAATCACTGATGATACGTCATATCGGGAAAAACCATCATAACTTACGTGCCTAATTGTTACTTCTTCTGAACAGGTCCGCGGTGATTAAATACGTCACTGATTCTCAACCGCCAGCATGTGTTTAGGGTAGGGAAACAGTAATCACTGATGATACGTCATATCGGGAAAAACCATCATAACTTACGTGCCTAATTGTTACTTCTTCTGAACAGGTCCGCGGTGATTAAATACGTCACTGATTCTCAACCGCCAGCATGTGTTTAGGGTAGGGAAACAGTAATCACTGATGATACGTCATATCGGGAAAAACATCATAAAGAGCATGTTTATAAATGCTAACTTTGCCGATTCGATGTAATAATTATTTTATTTCTTTATCTATTTTTGTATTTATCTAATTATTTTATTCATATCTTGCTGCATTTTCAGATACTATTCAATAATTCCAAATGTATTAAATAAATCTACGGTTGTGAAAGCCTTATTGTACAGTTTTTATGAACGCTTCTAGTGGAGAAGTTTTAATTTTCGCAGAAGCAATGATAAGTGATCGTGTTATCTTCAGTCATTATCTCTTTTAATGCCCCGGAACGAAATATCGGGGGCGTGTTGTTTTCTGCTGTCTGTTTGTCTGCTGTCTGCAGTACCGCAATAGCACCTCTGTAAACGGCTCTCGCCATTTCGAGATTCTTGAAAAAACTTGTTTGTGTCCAATAAACAAAGTAAATCATCATTTTTCTGTTTTGTTATTTGTTTTTCTTCTTTTTAAAATAGATGTTGGTTCATATGAAAATTGACTACATTCATTAATTTGGTTATAAACGTTAGGATTATATTGCGGAAGATTGAATTTGAATAAATAGTCACCAACCGTCATGTTTACATTTTGTAATTTCACTTTTCAACTCCCAATCTGTTCTTGAGATACAGTGTGATATACTGTAACATCAGTGATAACTTATTGTTATTTGGCTTCAATATTGGTGACATATGACATTTTAAAAATCCCAAATTTTGATTTCCTGCGCTGATCGATGGCATACAAATCTACAGCCGTGTCCTTTGTTGGTGTTGTTGGGATGCAGCCATAGTTTTGCACGACTTCAGACTTTGACCCTGACCATGAGGTCAACTAAATTGTAGTCCGGCAGCCGTTTACAGAGGTGCAATATTACCGTTAAGAAATGACAACTCTGGAACAGATTGTGTAAGAGGGAGGGCTTTGATATTTGGCATGTATTCCATGTGACAAGAGCTTTCTGGCTGTACCAACATTTCTGACCATGTGACCCCGATTGTGGACCTTGACCTACATTTGAAAAACTTAAATGTTGGCCTTAACTATAGCACTGTAAGTGTTTCACAAATTGTACATGTAAATTGCACATGCTTTACACTGTGCAGTTTTAACGTGCTACTTCAAAATTTTGTTGCAACCGAAGGCATAGTGTTTCATAAACGCATTTTGTTTGCTGGTATATGCTAACCTGAAAGTGAAAGTTCGAACCCCCCATAATAACAACCATTACAAAGGTAATGGACACGACTACCGGGCTTTACAACAACAGGTCATTGTTTTTGCTAACATAATACAGTTCACTACAATTCTACACTACCAGCTGTACCCTGTCGTCTGTTGTTTACTTAGAATAACCACCGTTATAACGTTAACTGAAACAGTAAACTTACTTCGTATCGTGAAAACAGGCCATTGACTTTTTTGTTTTTTGTTTGTTTTTTAAACATGTTTTTGCATATCAACACGCCCCACACATCCCGTCACTAGGTAGAGGCTATAACTGCCTGTCTACCATAACTAAGTGACCAGTCCATTGCTTGGTTGATATGAACTGAGAAGAATGTGAACGGACATCTTTGTTATTCTAAAACGTTCCATAGATGTACCTATCGTCTGTCGACCTTTAATTGATACCGTAACAGAATTTCCCGTTATTTATAACTTTGTTGTGATAACATAATTCGTTGCGTTTGGCTAAGCGCGAAAATTAATACATTTCGTTGTATATACTAACCAAGAAAGTTTGCACGCACGAAATAATTTGAAAGCTCCGAACCGCGAAAGGAAAGACACACGAACATTTCTTATAGCACAGTATCTAGGACAAAGGAGTGTTGTTAAGAGCTGATAATGAAGATTAGTCAGGGAATGAGACCAGACTTCGACCATATGGTACAAGGCTTGTATCTTATCATAAAACTGTGTTCCTCACCTGTACATCAAACGGACCGCTATACCACTAAAAGGTAGGTGTACGATATCAAAAATACTGTGTCCCAGTAAACTAATAAACCAAACATTGCATAATACAGGTAGGTGTAATTATCAAAACATCACAGAAACAAATATAGTTGATACTTATATACAAATTATGTTCACCAATATACAGTACACGACTAGGCTGCACTACCGGTAAGATCTCTAGATAATTGTTATGTAAGGGTGTGTAATGATGCAGTTCAACTTGTTTCAATTGTATATTTTTCTAACAATCAACAATGACGTAATTGTGATATTGATTCTAACTCCTGTAATTTTATTATAGTTTATGTTAATGTTTGTTTTAGAAATATGTGAATAAATCAATAAAACGCAGATACTACTTCTTGGTTGTAAAATCGGGTTTAATTCCATTTCAAGATGAAGCTGAAAGTGTGTTTTCTAATGGTCGTCATGGCAACAACAGCGTTAGGTTGCAGTGACTGGTATCAAGGAGCCCCGTGTTATTGTGCCTGTGAGGATGCCGCCATATCGTGTAAACAAAACTGCTATCCACAGCTTGGTGATCCGACAGATGTTGTCTTCAGATATAGGTGTTCCGATTACTGCAACATGGACAGCATACGATGTATGCGCAAATGTTTGACGTAAGACACATGTTTTGATGACGTCAGCACAATACCAGTAGATGATGATCTCACGAACTGACTTGTTGCAATTGGAGAATGCTATATATGTTGTTGGAACAATTAGTGATATGAGCATTAAAATGCAAAATACAGTGTTTGTTTGAGAAAATTTGTTTTGAATCTTTTTTCAATCGAATCGTCCATTTCATTTCTCAGCATATATAGTTTTTTCCTGAAATCATTTAGAATACCATTTCATCACCTTAAATTTTTGTTTGTCTTTTAAAAACAAGGATAATTACATAGCGGTGATGTTTACATCATAATATAATTACATCGATAGATCACTGATACTGAGGGACTTAAGGCTTGATTAAATATCAAAGCGTGATTTATTACTAATGTTAATATCGTTATCCATGCTCATGATTTCCAGAAAACATTTATTTTTCCGGTGGTGTGATAAACGATTGTTGTCTTGTTTACCAATTATTTTCCTAATGTAAAAAGTAAATATAGGAAAGGTTGGAAATTCCGCTGTAAAATTGATATCGCACTTCCACTGATTAAATTATCTGTCTGATAATACAACATCCGGATATTCATTAACTACAATAATCACTTTATCAATAAGTGGTAATCACCAAGGGAGTGTTTCTCCTCATCACCTTAGTTACATCTTCTTGTAAATTATCATCATATTTTTTTCACCGTATGTGGAGAGAAAAATCTCAATCCAAGGGACAGATTCAGAAATAAACTCCAGTGACCTAGAAATTTGATGATATTTTTATCAAGTTATCCAGTGCTAAGTGCCTCTGTAAGCATTGAACGGAGATGACTGTACTGTCCTCGATCAATTTCCAATTGTGGTGTTGAACTGGAAAGAGATGAAATCAAATGATGACTTAATGCAGTTGTGACAAAATTGGTGACGCGTTCCCATCGTGAATATCGCCGTTTCTTTTCAGATAAAAAAATCATTGGAGTCTTCTGGTTTTGTATTAGCACCAGGAATGTTTGTATCCAAAAATGGTTTTCAAACTCGCTGTGTTAGACCAAGGTGTTTCAAAAACTGTTGCCTCGCCTCACAACTCGCTTCATCCGTAACCTTTTCTCTAGTGCTGCAGTGTCATTTATGAACCAAGAGAATTTGTCTACGTCGCTTCTTATGTTGTCCTCGATCTGAAATAGATATCAACCTGTTTGTCGTAATATCAATCGATTTAGCGTTAACTCGGCAAAAAAACCTGTTACACTTAGATAAAAAAATCATAAACATGATATTCATTACATGACAAAGACTTTTCGTTTTCCGGTTTTCAATAATTTACAACATAGAATAAAATAAAATTTAAGAATCTAGATATTGAAATTTCCGCAATAAAATGAGTATTTAGTGTCACCTCCGTTTTCTACAGGATACCCACCATACATCTGTGAAGGGTTGACCTGGAAGGTAGGGAACCTCTCCGAAGGAATGGCGACTTACTGATGAAGGAAGGAGTAAACATAGTGAAGTCGACGTGGCCTGGACAAGATTTCTGACTCTGTGATACTATATCATGGTCTGGTATGGATGATATCTGAAATAGTTCAGAAATGTTATTATCATCACTGTACCAATTAAGAAATGGTCTTTTCAAGATGGTGGATATAGACGGATACAAAGGGCAGTTGCTCACTTTAAGCTACAATGTCACTGGTTTATGAATACAATCTGACCGGGAGATGTACCTCGCGAAACTCAGAATAACTCAAAATACACATAACAATATTTGTATGGTGTTGTTATGGTATAAATATTTGTGAGCCCTTCGCAAAGTTTAGGGAGCTGAAGACTTAGGCATCGAGGCGGGATTTGTCGTAAGTTTGACAGATATCGAGGTATTTAAGCAGTCTAATACTTTTGTTGTCATGGTAACACTCCAATAACATTCGTTTTTACGTGATATATTAGGAACGCTCGTCGCCACGATATTTTTAAAAAGCCCGGATATAACCAATATTGTTTACATTACGAGCTCGTCCTCAGATATATAAAGGAAATTTGAAAGAAAAAGTTACGTTTATTATAGTTGTTACAAACTAAGGCGACCTACCGACATATGGATTTTCCGACGATCGTGTTTATATTTTCGAAATTTCATCAAAACCGCACAAGACGATATAAGAACGAGGCAGATCACCACAACAGCAATAATAAATGACGTAGGAGATGACATTTCATGGTCACGTGACTGTCCAAGTGATGAAATCACTACATCGATGTTATCTTCACAAGGTCTGTAGTCACCACACACGTCACGAAGAGGATTGCATATGGCATTGAGTTCTTGGTTTTCTGTAAATTATCAGTAGAACTTAGTAATAATTTTGTAAGTTATGGAAACGTTATTTTTATGTTGTCATTGTTTGTAAGCGTACTTAAAGATTACTGACATGGTTGAATCGGTTTTATTGTGACATAAAATATGGAATACGTGTATGTAGTGTTTTCAACCTGAAACCACATATATTTTTTATTCAATACCTTAGTATATGTACTTATGTAGTTTTATGTTAGATGTAAATGAAAACATATTAAGTGAAGGCAAGGTCGTCATCTTTTTAACATAGAGTATGTTGCGGACATTTAAATGTTTCTGCAAAATGTATAAGACTAAGCAAACAAGAATCATTGAAATGAAAAAAAAAACTTTATTTAAATATTTTCACAAACATGTTAATGTAATCACGAATTGACAGCATGAGAGTATTGATCTTCGCAGAAATGTTACTATAAAGTCTTCATCATCAATTTATTTCAATTGTTTTCTTTGTTGAGCAATTAAGTAATTATTTTTCACTGATAACAAGGAACACATAATGTTATAAACAGAAACAGGATTTATCAAAAGTAAGGTACATACTACTACCGAACAACTGTGAAAAATACATAACTCACCGACACTGATGGCTGTTCGAAATGTTTGCAAATATACCGGATCTATCTCCCATCCCTCTGAAATGACCGGATGTGACGTCAGCTTCTGAAGACTGGTAACGTTTATGTGTTTCATCAAGCTGAAAGATGGCTCACAGTGTTTTACTGCTACCAGACCACAGAAACTGTAGTTGACCACGATACTGACCGGTACTGGTTTCTTTAGCCCGATCGGTCTGTCCGACATAGGAGGAAATGATATATAAAGGGAGTTTACTCAATAGTAAAAGAGGTGCAATATCAGTGATGAAAGATCACGCTTACTTTGTATCGAAGTTATATCCTGAAACTTTGTCGCTTTAATGTTATAAAAAATTAGGGATAAGAAGAATATATACTAATTTACCAATTACCTCACTTATACTTGACGAATCAAATTATCCTATATTGGAAGGTTTTGTTCAATAATGGTTTATAAAACAGTGTTGATAAGTCGATACTATTACACAGCGTGTTTTCAGAAAAATATAATGAATATTAATCTTTTAACTTTATAATATTAAACAGACAAACATACCCAATGTTTGATATTGTCACGTGTCTGAAAAGCCTGGTGGTGTTAAACGCGTTGATGAGCTGAAAAATAAAATTTCCTTTTGTCATTCATGTAGAGTTAGTTAAGTTGTTTTGTTCGTGTGTTTAGGGAATAAAGTCACGACAATAACCAGAATCAAAGGAGAGCGGACGTTCAGATAAACATCGAGACGGAAAACAAGACATAGACATTGATTGGTTATCATATATCTCGTGAATTCATTGTACGAAATTAGTTTTTTTTTAAAAAAAAAATACAAAAATATCAACATGTCAATATAACCATAATCCAAACACAAATTCAATGAATCTAAGGTAAAATATGAACAAAAGGATGATATTCAGGGAGACGCATGAAAACAAGTATAAGGAGAATATATAAGGCGTTCCGGAATAGTAAAGCGTCTTCTGTTTCATTGACTACAATCGCGATGTTAATCTTGGTCAATCCAACTAAGTAATGACACCTTATAAGGAATACATAGCATGATTTTTAATTTCCAATCTTACATTTGATATTCTGTACAATTTTAAATCATTTTAAAAATAAATATCAATTAAAATAAAAACAAAATAAAAAGTGTTAAAACGTATGCAGAATTTCATCAGTCCAGTGAATTTTTACGGAATTAGTTCTGTCAGTATTAATGGATACCTACCGTAATGTTTAATGTTCAGTCTGCCATTGGATATTCTGCTGCTTAATATCAATTATAATAAAAATGAAATAAAAAGTGTAAACAAAGTATCAAAGTACTGAGTATTAAATTATTACCTTGTTAAGGAGTCGTTGTTCAATATGTTTCCCTATATTAGTTTCTGCTGTAGAATCTTTGCGTCTCTGCAGTAACAGCTGAATTTCGACATCACGTGTGATGTTTACAGCTAGATAATGAAATAAAAATGCTTAAAGTGATACATATTATGATTCCAAACCGTATCTTGATTTGTATCAAACATTAAATACGTCATGAGTCTATATTGTAATCATTAATGTAAAGCCGAAATAACATAAAATATGGTATCACGTGACCGACTAATTACTGTTCCTGCAAATTACCTTTCCTTTTTTAATGTCAGAATTGTTAGTGGCTTTATAGCAATTGTTATCGAGAATACACCACTTAAAAATGCCGAAGAAGACTGAAAGTCCGTTCTGTGATAATTATCAAAAAAAGGAATGTTTGCTGATTCTAGTTATACTGTAAAGTAACTAACTATTTTTTTCTACTTTACATTTGTTTGATTAAACCTGGTTAGGAGGTTCGATACAACGAAAATAAATCAACGTTGAGTTATAAGTTGTATATGGAATTGATACTTGAATATTTACATGAAGAATTGCAAGAAACTGCAGTCGTAGGTGGTAAAAAGACAAGATGTTCCGAGTACGTCTTAACATCCAGGTCGTGGACTGACAAAGTGACATATTTACTAATGAGCGTCGTTTTCACTTGAACGGGTTTTCGCTCGATCGGAGAAGATGATGTTGACTCTAACGTTTGTTCTGGTTTCGTCAAAGTGGATTGATTCTCTGTTGTTGGTGTGGTAGTATGAGTTGGGAACCTTGTATTTGATCCTAAAGGTTGATCCAGTGTTAATGTCGGGGCAGAAAAGGATGATATTGTTGACAAAGTGGCGTTCAATGATGCTTTTGGATTTGATGTCAATGAATATGGTAATGATTCTGAAGATAATGGCGTTTTGAATAATATTTCTGTGAGAGTAGAAAATGACGACGGAGATGATGATGATGATGATGATGATGATGATGATGATGATGTAGATGATGACGATGAAGATGATGATGATGATGATGATGATGATGATGATGATGATGATGATGATGATGATGATGATGACGATGAAGATGATGACGATGAAGATGATGATATAACAGTGCTGATAGACTGACTAGTAGGTGTATTATAACTTTCCAGTAGATCAGTGACAATTGTCGATGGCTCAGAGCTGGAGTCGCCATTATTTTCTTTAAACATGGACGTCAAATATTCTTCACTAAGATGTGTTCCCTCCGCTACCGCTATTGTGTTAACAGACGCCAGTGGAGACGTCCTACTAACACGGGGTTCAGATGGCACTGTGGCTTTGACTGTCTGTTGTAGGTGTGACAAGTCTGATAAAAAAACACAAATTTTGAAATAAACTGTCTTTAACATGTTTGTAATTACAAATGGAATGGGAAGATTCTGACCCCTATATTATCTGGAGTATTTCCATAATGGTTATGATGTTTATCCATACATATATTTGAAAGAAATTCGTGATAACTGAAGTAACGTGAGAAGTATTACAGAGATATCGTCCATTAACATGATATGTCACAGGCCAAGATACAAAATAATAATAAAAAATAAAATAAAATATTATCATCCTATACCTTATACTTGCGTTCACAATAATATCATGATTAACTAAAGATTTGTCTTCTATCTAAAAGAAATATCTTGTTACTACAATGGTGCATTATTACCTGACTTAACCTCTGCTAAAAATCCTGCAGCCTCGTGTTGAAAATCAGTCACAAATGTCAGCGTTAATTCTCCTGACACCAAGGCAAATTGTTCCGGGGATGAAATAACACCACAACGTCTGTTGTTACCCCACAATGACACAGATGCATAGTCACTATTACAATAAAGGCTTTCCTCAATCTCCATCGATATCATCCGGAAATAAAATGGCCGACCGGATCCGGAAGTTATCTTCCAGTGACATAAAACATGAGGTGAATAATTCCCTGGATATCCCGGAGATGTTATATTAATGATACTGTTTGGCTGCAGCACAATATTTGTCGAACATGCTGAAAAAGGGAATGTGTTATTGATTTATTTCTTAGATGTATTGAATTTAGACAGCCATCAGTACTTTTTTTTTTTTTTGGGGGGGGGGGGGGGGGGGGTTCGTAGAAAAAAATAATCATACAGATTTATCAATCATTCGTCATATACATATTCATTGATATTTTTAAAACAAGAAGTCAGTCAACTGAGAGGAAATCCTCCCCCGATCTGCTACAATTAGTCGCCTCTTACGATATGCAATGAGATAGAGCAGGCACAGCCTTTCCCCGTCACCTGTTCTATTAACACGTGTCACGGGAGATAACTCATCGTGGACACTCATTACAACATGGAACAGTGATGAAGTAATTTACCTGCATTAACATAAAATGGGGATGACGGTGGACCCTCCTGGAACTGGTGCATCACACTGACCTTGACTACATACAACTGACCTTCATGACCTCTTGTGCTGATGACGAAACTTCGTCTACGAGCCGATAACGTGACGACCAGTGTGCGCGAGGACGGGAAAACGAAGTATCGTACTCTGTAGGCAGTGATGTAGTTAACGTTATAGTCGACAGGGGGCGCCCAGGTCACCTTGATGGCTTTGTCGAAGGCAGCGACCTTGACATTAGCTGGCTGTTCAGGAACAGGCACTTAACATGAGGGAGATACATTAATATTTTCAGTACTGCTTAGATAATAGCTCAATGATCATTGTTTGTGTTTCTTATTACTTCCATTGTGCTATGTATGCTATTGTGTATGCTATGTACCAGATATTGGGCATATTTTCTGTCACCGTCTGGCACGACATCTATATACATGTAAATGTACACAATAACATCAGTTGGTAATAGAGAGTGGATATCGCCATGCCGAGTGGGTACCTTTAATTAATGCTTTGTTGAATTGATAATAATTCAAAAAACACCTTAAACCTTTTAATAATTAGTGTTTACAACATGTTTCCCGTTGACGTGAACGGGACGCTGCAGAAATGTTTATGAATGATACAGGGATTCTTTCTGTAAGGGATTGTTGTGTATCTTTTTTTGTGATTTCGTTTTATGGTGAATTAAAATGAAAAACTTCACAGGAATTTCAGATGTTTGATGGCGTTTTAAAAGTCGAATTTAAATTCATGAACAATTCCACATTTCTGTATGATGTATCGATTTTCTTTATTACAACATATGATTATAAATATCGCTAATCATCATGTTATTGTGAATAAATATTTGATGCTGTTATTGTTGGTTGTTGTCAATCTTACCTATAGATAGTATCCTGACCTTGAACCCTCTTCCGGATCCACTACTTCCGGTGTGAAGCGTCAAACTGGTCCAGTTTCCTTCTGATACGAACTGACTTTTGCTCTTGTTACAAAGCTTTTGTTCATAGTTTACATCCAGGCCAGTCATTTTAATGAAGTCCTTTGTGCAACTCTCATCATTAAAATCAATATCCTCTATTTCAAATTTAAGAACGAACGACGTGTTTGTCGAGATATCCCATTTACACACAGCACTGGGCTCGAGCCTCTTTGGGTAGAATGATGACGTCACGATTACAGAAGTCTCGGGTAACACGTGTTTTTTCCCACCACATCCTGGGGAAAGGGTTTGTAGTTTATAAGTTTTATTTCAGATTGATCTGATATAAAATACAGTTACTATATCAATCATCAATCCACAGATAATTTGGGTAATATTATCTATAAACTATTGTGGTATAAAAATCGTTCACAAAAGTCTTTAGAGTAGGTTTCGTTATGAATAATGCTTTAGATTAGATCTTTTACAAAAACGCAAAGTTAATAGCACAAACATTAATACAAATATATAGTTAGATACAGTTTAAATCCGAATAGCCTGCATCAGTAGCCCCCTTCTACGGCTCATTAGTGATGTTAGGGCCTATATTGTGAAACCTAGGTGGCGACTGCAGAAAGTAAAAAATCACTGAATGGATTATAAGTAGTCCAATATTTAGATAAATAGATAAGATGATCATATATCTGATAAGGGAATGTCTAGCATATCTGTTTATTCTGCAAACTGCCACTATTAGAACGAATTCAAACGTGATTAGGAAACATTTTCTTATACATCTGATAATTTTCAGATTTTCTCACTTAGATTGAATCACGGGTAAGACACCGATATTTATCATGATATAGAACTTACGTCACATGAAAAGACACCTATATTTATCATGATTTTGGAGCCATTGGACACGTAACAAAGTAATGATTATTGTTGGTGGTTGTTGTTAAACGTCTACGTAGCAGCCACGGTGATTAAATACCACGTAATACTTAACAAATTGCCTCCAAAGTGACGTACCGAAAGTAACTCGGATGTATCTTGGATTAGAGGGTCTGCTAAGCCCTTGTGAGTTCTCAGCTAGCACGGTGATGCGGTAAAGTCGGCCAGGATGATCAGCAACAGCTGTAAAATATAAAAATTATAAAAAGCAATGAGATGGTGTACAACAAACCTGATATTCACTAAAGTTTTAACACAGGAATACTCATACTCACGAATGAGAACAAATGTTTGCTCGTCGGTTGTCATGGTGACGTCATGCATGTCGGGCAGTACATTATAAATAACTTGGTATTGGAGTATATGACCGTACGTCCTTGCTGGAGGGTGCCACTGGACCAATAAGTTAGCACCTACTGACGTCACTCTGACGATCCTGGGGACACCTGGCGGGGAACCTAAAAAACAGTACAAAAATGTTTAGTTTACTTAACAAAAATACATAATGCGCATCATGGTGATCTGCTTTGTCTAAATGCATTTATGTAGTTGTAAAATTTACAGCCACAGTCGTGAGAGACTTGTCAGAAAATTGTCTGTGATATCAGTCACGGATCTAGATGTACTGTTGAACGATTCTATCAATCTAAACCAGACTGACATTGATGATATACAACAGTTTGTACAAGAATATATTAAAATGTGAATCGTTTTGAATAAACCTACTTCAATACTAAATAACAAAGATAATTCACTACCATAAGTCAGATGTTGAGTAGAATATTTGTGATTACATAAGTAATTGGTTCGGATATGTATTTATACTTATTAAACATGTTTCATTATACACTTATTTCTGTGATATGAACGTGTGTGATGCCGTCAGTTTCCCATTCAGTTCCACTGTTGTATACCTTGTTCTCATTTGAAAACTTTACATTACTTACTTTGATTGATCAATATTGACATGGTAGGCGTCGTAGATGAAGCAGAAGATTCTTACTCTTCCCAAACACCTGGGTCCGTATGCATGAAACCATTCGCATGCTCAAGCATGAATTTTGTGCTCAAGCCTTATGTCTTGTTGAAGTTAAAGATTAATAAATAAGACTGATTTTGCCGAAGATTTCATAATAAGTCAAAACTATATTAAAGGTTTAAATTTGGCATTTGTATTATTTGATATCATTTAGGTGATTTATAAAAAAAAGTTCGCTTGAGCACAAAATCTATGCTTAAGCATGAGAATGGTTTCATGAATAGGAGCCCAGTCTTACTCTCCTTGCACTTTTTATGATTCCTCGTGTAAATCTTTGTTTTTGTTAATAGTTTCCCTAGTGTTAACGAATCTGAGTTTAGATTTACTGTTATGTTAACACGTTAGTATATGATTGTTTGTTATTTTCATATATATGTTTATACTTGATTTTATTAAATCAAAATTTTACCAATAATATCTATGTTATATTAAGTGGAATTCCCTGAACTATTACAGTATAGGGAAAACTCGTATGTATACAGTAATATCAAGTTTTATAAAAATATATGACAAAGAAATATCTTGTTCATGAAATGCTGCTATATATTTGTGTTACCACTCCACACTTGTTTTAGAAGAGGACGTTTCTTAAGTATATAACTTGTGTCCAATTCCATTTGAATGTTTTCAAATAAAATATGTTTAAACCAAACCTTTGCTTAAGACTTACCTGTAACGACATAGCTGTAGTATAGAGGGGAGATAAGCAGGTGACAAATAGAGATAAACACTCGGACGTCCGTCATCATCTTCTTCAGATAACATCATATATACGTACTACCTTCTGTCAACACGTGCTGTTGGGTAAACATACATTAATAAATGTTACAGTTCTGTCATATCACGTTTGCCAGAAAACTTCTATATTTCCACATTCTGCACGATAGTTTCACGGTGTTTTGGCTTAATTACAAACTCTACTTCTTAGTCGTTATATTTGCCAGAATTATTAACCATGTTATAAAAACGCTCACTAAATTCGTTTACATTTGATATTTAAATGATGAAACGCCGATAAGTTATCAAACTTGTCACAAATTCTTCATTTTGCTCGCTTTAGTCTCGCTAAAATCAGTATTTTAGACTCGTCTCATCGGTACGAATTAAATGGAAATCCAGACATGATAATTATGCAGCTGCATAAATTGACATGCCAGATATTTTTAAGAATATATTGCTGTGTTATCACAGAAAACTGTTATACGGTACAAAACAGGATATAAATGTTTAATACATTGAAGAAAAAGACAACCGAGCAACGTTAATGCTCATTTTCATACGGTAAGTGTTTATTAGAATTCAAAAACGGATAGTGATTATCTCCCCTTAGCCTGCGTCAGGGTGTCCCTTGTACTATTTAGTCACTTCCGAAACTCGTATTTTTCCATACAATAATATTGGCTACTACAAGGATGTGAAGCAAAAACAGTAAATAATGAGATCTTTCCTAAAAAAGGTGTGGATTTCAGGCTAAAACATATCAAGCACGAAGTGTAAAATTAAAAAGAAACATTATAATTATGTGAGTGTTGAAATATCTCCTACCATAAAAGGAAACTTCATTAAAACTTGAAATCCTCGGATTGATATCGAAACAGCGTGTTCTTGGTGTCTTACGATGTGGTTTAGCTTCCCGTCGAGTCTTTTTTCTCCAGAATCAGTTGGGCTTCATATCCTGATGATGTTATGTTCTAAAACCACATTTCATAATCCATTGATCCTCAGACTTAAAAATAGCGATCCGCCAAACCAGTCTCAAAATTTGCATAAAACATTTACAACTTATCAAGTAATCATGCAACGTGTTCCTTTCTGAATGTGAGGCACATGTCAATCTCTATACAAACTGGTGTATCTTGTGGATAGGTAAATAAACTATGGCTATTTTTCTCGTGATAGTAAAGTTGTCGCTAACACCACGTCCACAGAAAACAAAGACTTCCCCATTACCTGACCACGGGATGAATGGTCAAGGCTTGTCAAGGACCCCACAGGTCCAGCTTATATGCTTCCCACGTAAAGATAACACACTGTTTGATCACAGAATTTGTGATAAACAAACAATTTTCTATGGAAAATTACGAAATTAAGAAAATAAAAAAATAAAAATGATGTCAATTATGTACTTTTCTAACATGATAATATCTATTGTTATTATCCGTTTAAAACATTTAAGCAAACTTGATATCGTCATACCAAACCGACTTACACTATAGCCGATATTTGGCGTTGATTTCCTAAGCATTGATTATAACATAATTAACTGACAGTGCACTGATGGTTATGTTTTCTATCTCGTGCACCGTACGAGGAGGAATAAGTACACGGTAGGGAGGAACTGTTTATACAGTGTCTATATGAGTGTTACATTTGACCCACTCGCGTGTTCTAAAGTAGTTTCCTTAACACCTGCCGCGTATTGTCATTAGATCTAGATAAGATACCCCGTACACTATAGAACCACTAGCCTGACATTTTGTGATAACATCCGAACAACAAACTTACTGCAGGCATGTCAAAATTAATGAATCAAAAACAACAAGAAAACACCAAAATGTCAACACAATCATAATCAAAACTCAGTTTACTAGAATATGAACGAAAGAAAGATTTACACGGAGAAAAAGTACACTGAGAATAGGACAGAGTATCATCAGCATGTAAACCGTGTTCAATCAACGTAATTAATGTCACGTTCTCAAATGAGAACAAGGTATAAAACAACGGAACCAACAGGCAAACTAACGAGCATCAAATACGTCCAGCTTCACACCACACAAAGAAATGGATTATTTCTCATTGAGATCAATATGGCGGCCATAAAACTTCCCCATAATTTTCATCCACCTGCATCTTTTGAACCCTTGTGTTACGAGTTTATCAGGCAGTCGACCACTTCTTGCACACAAATTGTGATAATGGGAACACACCCTTGAAAATCAAATCATCTGTGACATGTAAATACCATAAGTTGGGGATGCAGGGATAATCAAAATCATTGATACATTTTTAGGCTTAACGTACTCAGTACGTATAAGCCTATTGCAACGGTCTTTCAGACAAAATTTACCGATCCTGGCCTTTTTATTGGCTGAAATATCGAAAAGAGTAAGATCCCTCTAGCGGCAATTTTCTGCGTAAATAATGCCGCGATCTTTCAAAACGCTATTTTAAAACCATCCACAATTAGTTTATTTTTTAAAAAACAATACAATTACTATATATTTAAAAAAGAAGCATAGTGTGGTTGAATTATTGATAAATTTTGAACAATATATTTTACGGAATTTGCTCACGGACATTCCCGACCTCTGCTGCTGAAGAAGATCGAGCTGACGTGATTATTATCGCCTGCTGTGAATATTCCTAGAAAACAACCATATTTACCGTAAGTCAGCAAAAAAATGGTTTCTTGTATCTTTATTGTAACTGCATGACTTGATTTACAGTGTATTTACTGTATGGCGGCTTATGAATCCTTCTCGACATGACGTAAGCGTACAGAACACTGTACGTGCGAGTTGGCGCCATGATAAGAAGCTAGTCTGGGGGCTTGGTTTGAATTATCAACTAACAGCACTTATAAACAAACAAAACTTACAAGAAGAACATCAATTTTGCTTTAATCCTTGTCGCTGTGGCAAGATCGTCTTAATATATAACATCACTTTACCTCAGTAGACGTCACCGAATTGGACTGTTCGTCCCACGCGCACACCCGCCGATATGACACTTTTTCAGGTTTTTCACACCCACCGCCATGACACTTTTTCAAGTTTTTGAAGATAAAAAGTTTGCGCTTCGTAGGCAAGGTGCATTTGGTGCTCATGATTTATGAATAATATATTTTTAATACTGTACTGATCATGATGTTGACTTTGTTATAACTTATATTTTTTGCCTTTTAGTTTTATTTGATGAAGGTTGATTGTGCTGATTTCTCAAGGTTTGTAAATGTGTATCAAAGTTCCTTGAAATGCAAATATTCCTTCAAACAAAACTCGTATAAAAAACCCAAAATATTCATGTTTATAATTATCAATTAACTAGAACGAAATATTTCCATAACATATTTATTCATTTAGCGTGTCATGGTGACATTATCTAATGCATTGGAGATCAGAAATAGTAGAAGCTATAGTGAAAATATTGTAAATTTTGTATATATTTGGAAGTCTGGTTTAATCTATGAACTATGTCTTTATAGACATAATGACTGGAAGAAAAGTCTAACCATGATATTTCAAGGAAGATAGGCATGTAAATACATTTAATGTAATTACTTACACTTTAATCTATCTGAAATGCTGTGTACACCTTATCTACTTCCCTCAACTACAAATATAAATATAATAAGTAAGGACTATTACTTTGCAATACATTCAAAATAAAGAAGTAGGTATAAAGTCCTTTCGATTTGTCTAAATCCTCATATTGATAGGATAGTAATTGCAACATATTGGGTATTTCAAAGGTTTTATTTAGTCAACTTCAACGGAAGTGAGTTATCAGATTTTTTTATTTGCAATGTCGGATTGAAACAAGCTGAGAATTTATCGCCATTTTTGTTTTCATTATACTTAAATGATCTAGAACGATTTTTTTTCGAAAATAATGTTAATCCTCTACAAGAAATAGAAACAACATGCCTGAGACATATTGGTTTGTATCAGAAATTGTTCATTATATTGTATGCTGATGACACTGTGATGATGGCGGAGACAAAAACTAGTCTTCAAAATGCTTTAACTTGCTTTCAAAAATACTGTGAAACATGGAAACTGACTGTCAATACTCAAAAGACTAAAGTCGTCATATTTGAGAAAAGAAAAAGCAGAGGTACTTATTCATTTACTTATAATAATGAGCCCCTAATGGTTGTAAACTCTTATTCATATCTTGGTGTACTGTTTAACTATAATGGTACGTTTGTAAAGGCAAGGACCCATTTGATAGAACAGACTAGAAAGGCATTATATGGTCTATATAAGAAAATAAGAAATATTCCATTACCTGTTGATATCCAACTTAAACTATTTGATTCACTTGTGTCACCTATTCTATTATATGCATGTGAAATATGGGGATTCGAGAATGTAACTAGCGTTGAAAAAATACATCTACAATTTTGTAAAAGAATTCTTAAATTGAGAAGTAATACCCCAAATTATATGATATATGGGGAACTTGGTCGTTATCCACTAGAAATTGATATTAAGACTCGAATGGTGACTTTTTGGCAAAGAATTATTACAGATGAGAATAAATTATCATGTATACTCTATAATTTAATGAACAAAACTCAGTCACAAGATCAAATCGATTTCAAATGGTTGAAGTCCATAAAGTCAATACTAGATAACACTGGATATAGCAGTGTAAGGAATAACCAACATATATGTACTGTTGATAGAATCTTTTTTAAGTCTAAAATTAAACAAAGATTAATTGATCAGTTTATTCAGAAGTGGTACCATGACACTGATATTTCTTCACGTGTAGAAACTTACTCAATCTTTAAAAGCAAATGGGAATTATAGACTTATTTGATTAAACTAAACCCAGAAGATAGAAAAACATTGTGTAGATTTAGAACATCTAATTGTAAGTTACCAATCGAAACTGGTAGATGGACAGGTGTACCTCGCCAGGAAAGAATTTGTTTATTATGTAATATAAATATTGGCGATGAGTATCATTACCTTTATCAATGTGAAAACGACTATATTAAAGAAATACGTCAAAA